TTATGTCCCTCTTTGCCTCTGGGAATATTCTTTTTTTTTTTTTTAATTGAGACAGGGTCTCACTCTGTCATCCACACTAGAGTGGCATGATCCTGGCTCAGTGGAACTTCCGCCCCCAGGTTCAAGCTATCCTCTCACCTCAGTCTCCCCGAGTAGCTGGACTACAGGTGTGTGCCACCACACCCAGCTAATTTTATATTTTCAGTCGAGATGGGGTTTCACCATGTTGGCCCGGCTGGCCAAACTCATGACCTCAGGTGATCCACCCACCTCAGCCTCCCAAAGTGCCAGAATTACAGGCATGAGCTACCATGCCCAGCCTGGATTTGATAATTGTTATCACTCTTTCATCTTTTTTTCTTTTAAGATAAGGTCTTACCCCATTGCCCAGGCCAAAGTGCAATGGCATGATCATAGCTCACTGCATTCTCAAACTCCTGGGCTCAAGAAATCCCACTTCAGCCTCCTGAGTAGGTAGGACTACAGGCACACACCTCTGGCCCTGGCTAATTTTTTATTTTTTATAGAGGCAGGGGTCTTACTATGTTGTCCAGGCCAGTTCTTCCTTCAAACACTGACTCTTTACTTTGTCATCTCCAATTTTCTGTTGAGTGAATTTTTTTCAGATATATGTTTCAATTCTAGCATTTCTTCTGTTTTTTTTTTCTTTTTTCTTTTCTTTTTTTTTTTTTTTTTGAATGACAGAGTCTCACTCTGTTGTCCAGGTCGGTGTACAGTGGCATGATCACAGCTCACTGCAAACTCAGCATCCTGGCTTCTAGTGATTCTCCCACCTTCACCTCCTGAGCAGCTGGGACTAGAGATGCACAGCACCCACAGCCAGTTAGTTTTTTTGTGTGTGTGTGGTTTCTTTTTTTTTATAGAGACAGGATTCACCATGTTGCCCAAGCTGGTTTCAAGCTCTGGGCTTAAGCAGTCCTCTCACCAGCGTCTCCCAAAGTGTTAGGATTATACGAATGAGCCACTGTGCCCAGCCCAATTCTAGAATTTCTGTGTGGTTCTTTTGTATAGTGTCTATTATTTTTTTTGCAGAGATGTCCTATTTGTTTATTTATTACAAGCACGGTTTCATTTATGCCCTTGAGCATAGTTATAACAGCTGCTCTAAAATCTTTGCATGCTAAATACATCATCTTGGAGTCAGTCTGCAGTGCCTTTTCTCTTTTATTGTTGTCCCGTTTTTTTTTTTTTGGTACTAGTAATTTTGGACATTGTTAATGATACATTTAGAGGCTCTGCATTCTAATTTAGTCCTCTGAACAGTTTTGTTGTTATTGTTTTGTCCCAGTACTCAGTGAGCTTGGCTGTACTGAAACGTTAAGTTCTCTGTCTTGGCTAAGGTAGGTGGCAACTGACATTATTCCAAATTCTTTTAGACTTAGCTGGGCTCCTTAGTATCTGTTCCAGGTGTGCTTAATTCAGGTGTCAGCTGGCGATTTGGACGAGTCTATACAAAGAATTTGGAACTCTGGTTCGCTGGGATTAGGTAGGGTTTCTACTGTAATTTTAGCTGTTTTCAGCACTAAGGTCTGCCTTAGGTATGAAACCATGAAAAACAGAATCTTACTAATAATGTTCTTTCTTTCTTTCAAGTGTCACCCCCCCATCTACTTTCTTCCTGATTATGGCTGTTTTCAAATGCCTTGAGGTAGTTTATAGTTGTCTGTGAGAGGTTCAGAATAATGGAAACTACTAAGTCATTACCAAAATTAGAATTCTCTCTCCTACCTTTATTTTTTAAGGGGAAAGGATACCATTTTTTTTTTTTTTTTTTTTTTGAGACAGAGTTTCGCTCTTTGTTACCCATGCTGGAGTGCAATGGCGCAATCTCGGCTCACCGCAACCTCTGCCTCCTGGGTTCAGGCAATTCTCCTGCCTCAGCCTCCTGAGTAGCTGGGATTAGAGGCACACGCCACCGTGCCCAGCTAATTTTTTGTATTTTTAGTAGAGACGGGGTTTCACCATGTTGACCAGGATGGTCTCGATCTCTTGACCTCATGATCCACCCGCCTCGGCCTCTCAAAGTGCTGGGATTACAGGCTTGAGCCACCGCGCCTGGCCAAGGATACCATTTTTAAAATAATGTGTCATGATCACCATGTTCCTATCAATATTAGTGATCATTTCAGTCAATGGAATAAATAATTCAGAAGGAATTGCTAAGCATAAAGATAGAAATTAACTGCTTAGGATGGTGCAGTGGCTCACACCTATATTCCCAGCACTTTGGGAGGCTGAAGTGGATGGATCACAAGGTCAGGAGTCTGAGACCAGCCTGGCCAACATAGTGAAACCTGTCTCTACTAAAAATACAAATAAATTAGCCAGGCATGGTGGTAGGCACCTGTAATCCCAGCTACTTGAAAGGCTGAGACAAGGAGAATCACTTGAACTTGGGAGGTGAAGGTTGCAGTGAGCTGAGATCAGGCCACTGTACTCCAGACAGGGCAACAGTGTGACACTCCATCTGAAAAGAAAAAAAAAAGGGGGCTGGGCGCAGTGGCTTATGCGCTTTGGGAGGCCGAGGCAGGTGGATCACGAAGTCAGGAGTTCAAGACCAGCCTAGCCAAGATGGTGAAAGCCCATCTCTACTAAAAATGCAAAAATTAGCTGGGCTTGGTGGCACTTGCCTGTAGTCAGTCCCAGCTACTCAGGAGGTTGAGTCAGGGGAATCACTTGAACCCAGGAGGTGGAGGTTGCAGTGAGCCGAGATCGTGCCACTGTTCTCCAGCCTGGGTGACAGACCGAAACTCCGTCTAAAAAAAAAATATTAATTGCTCAGGTATTTAGAGGAGAAGCACTGTTTTCCTTATATTTCTTCCACTTGAGGAATAGTGCAGCTTTGTGTGACATGCTAATTTCTTCTCCAAGAGCTACAGATGTAATTCTTGTTAAGTGGGTGAATGATCTTATTGATAGATGGCACATTTTTGGTTACTATTAACATGATGTTGACAGTGTGTGGTAAGAAATAATTTTGAGTTCAGAAGTCATTTTTAAAGTAAACTTGGAATTTTAAATATGTGAAGCTGGCACAGTTCTTTCAATAGTTTATTTAGAAATTTTTCATTTTGGAATATTCACTCAAAAGAGCATGTAAGGCTGGGCACAGTGTCTCAGTCTTATATGTAATACCAGCACTTTGGGAGGTCGAGGTGGGTAGGTCACCTGAGGTCAGGTGTTTGAGACCAGCCTGGCAGCATAGTGAAACCCTGTCTCTACTAAAAATACAAAAATTAGGTGAGTGTGGTGGCTCACGCCTGTAGTCCCAGCTACTTGGGAGGTTGGGGCAGGAGAAGCACGTGAACCAAGGAAGCAGAGGTTGCAGTGAGCTGAGATCATGCGACCATACCCTAGCCTGGGCGGCAGAGCAATACTCTGTCTCAAAAAGGAAGAAAAGAGCAACTGGGCATGGTGGCTCACTCCTGTAGTCTCAGCACTTTGGGAGGCTGAGGCAGGTGGATCACCTGTGGTCAGGAGTTCAGAACAAGCCTGGCCACTCGGTAAAACCCTATCTCTACTAAAAATGTGAAAATTAGCCAGGCATGACGGCATGTGCCTGTAGTCCCAGCTATGCAGGAGGCTAAAGCAGGAGAATTACTTGAACCTGGGTGGTAGAGGTTGCAGTGAACCGAGATTGCAACAGTGCACTCCAGCCTGGGCGACAGAGTGAGGCTCCATCTTAAAAAAAAAAAAAAATGAAAAAGAAAAAAAAGCGTATAAAATGTAAACATATAATAAAGAATAATAAAATGAAAACTATTGATTTATCTTTTACCAATGAATGCCCTTAGTCAATTATTTAATTTTTTTCTCTTATGTCTGTTCTATCTTCTCTCTGTCTTTTTAAATTTGAAGCTCACAGGCATTGCCGAGCATTGATAATTAGTACAAACAAGATTGCAGGTCTATGATAACATTCAGACTTTTCTGGCAATAATAGCAAACATTGCCTATAATTTATTTATTTATTTATTGTGAGATGGAGTCTCACTGTGTTACCCAGGTTGGAGTGCAATGGCATGATTTTGGCTCACTGCAACCTTTGCCTTTCCGGTTCCAGCGATGCTTTTACGTCATACTCCCAAGTAGCTGGGATTACAGGCATGCACCACCATGCCTGGCTAATTTTTTGTTGTTGTTTTTTGTTTGAAATGGCATTTTTGCCCTTGTTGCCCAGACTGGAGTGCAATGTCAAGATCTTGGCTCACTGCAACCTCTGCCCCCCTGGTTCAAGCAATTCTCCTGCCTCAGCCTCCTGAGTAGCTGGGATTACAGGCATGCACCACCACGTCCGGCTATGTATATTTTTAGTAGAGACAGGGTTTCACCATGTTGGTCAGGTGGGTCTCGAACTCCTGACCTCCGGTGATCCACCTGCCTCTGCCTCCCAACGTGCTGGGATTACAAGTGTGAGCCACTGTACCCAGCCACCTATACTATAATAGGGAATAGTTCTGAATTTCTTGGATAGCTACTAACTGTAGTTCAGATAGCTGTTTAACTGCCAGTAAGTTGGAAATTTCAGTGAAGTCATCCTTTAAAAAAAATGTAACTTGGTGACCTTGGTAATACTTTTCACCACTGTTTGAATGCTCGTTTTTACATTTTTATTCTAAGTCATAAACATAAGTGTGATATTTGGGCTGTTTCTGTTGCAGAAAAAATTAGGACTTTGCATTGGAAAAGGAAATTGCAGCAGATTTGACTCAATATAAAAGATTGAAATTAGTAGGAGAGAAATAGCCAAAAGTACTAAATAATTTCAGCTTGAGAACATAATAGTTTAAGAGTTCTGGGCAATTCAAAGTAAATGTACAGATGTTCTCAGGTGGCAGATGTTTGAATTGTGGTGGAGGGAGAAAGCATGTAGTCATGAAACACCTTAAGGCAGGATGCTAATTTTACAGAACCGAAGCTCCTTTAATTTCCACGATTAATGCCAATAAAAGAAAACCTTGACTTATTTTTTTAACTAGATATGAAGAAGCTGAAGTTCGTAAAAAACTTGAAGAAAAAGATAGGCAGGAGGAAGCACAGCGGCTACAACAAAAAAGGCAGGAAACAGGAAGAGAGGATGGCAGCATGTTGGCTAAAGGTTCTTTGGAGAATGTATTGGATTCCAAAGACAAAATCCAAAAGGTATTTCAAATTTGTTGTGTGAGTTAAAAGACCATTTCTGCTTGTCAGATGATTTGCCTAAAAAGAGTTGCGATTACCACAATAAAATTCTTTTAGGTAACAAGGATAAAATTTAACGTTTTAATTAGAAATTGATTTAAGGCCAGGCATGGTGGCTAACTCCTATAATCCCAGCCTTGCCAGTGTGGTGAAACTCTGTCTCTACTAAAAATACAAAAGTTAGCTGGGTGCGGTGGTACGTGCCTGTAGTCCCAGCTACTAGGAGGCCGAGGTGGGAGAATCAATCTGGGAGGCAAAGGCTGCAGTGAGCCAAGATTGTACCACTGCACTTCAGCCTGAGCAATAGAGCAATGCTCTGTCTCAAAAAAAAAAAAAAAGAAAGAAAGAAAGAAAGAAAAGAATATTTAATTTGAATTAAATATTCTAGCCTCAGTTGATTTCAGATTTTTCTATGAATTTCTATAGCAATATTTTCTGTGCATTAATTCATTTTTTAGCAGTCATTATAAACTTAATTAGAGCCTGGGGAACGAGAGGAAACTCTGTCAAAAAAAAGGAAAAATTAAAAAAAGAAAAAAGGGAAACTGGGGAGAAATAGAAGGAGAAAGCAAAGGAAAAAGAATGAGACCCCAGAAAAAGATAAAAAGCTTGGTACCAAATAAAGTAGTATGCCAAATCTTTCTTTTAATGTAAATTACATGATTAGAAAGAAGAAACTTAAAAATCATCTATTTCAAGACCATAATTTGGGAAATGAGAAAACTGAGTCCCAGAGTAGTTAAAAAAGATTTGACATAGGATATAATACATCACAGGTCAGCTCAAATGATCTTTCTACTGCTCTAATTACGTTTATAATGACTGCTAAAAAATGAATTAATGCATAAGCAGTACTTTGAGTACTTTATATTACTTCATTTTGCTTTAATCTTTTTTAAAGACAGATTTTTGCTCTCTTGCCCTGGCTGGAATGCAGTGGCATAATCTTGGCTCACTGCAACCTCCGCCTCCCAAGCTCAAGCAATTTTCTGCCTCACCCTCCCAAGTAGCTGGGATTACAGTCGCCTGCCACCACGCCTGGCTGATTTTTTGTATTTTTAGTAGAGATGGGGTTTCACCATCTTGGCCAGACTGGTCTTGAACTCCTGACCTCGTGGTCTACCACCTTGGCCTCCTAAAGTGCTGGGATTACAGGCATGAGCCACCTCGACTGGCCCTCATTTTGCTTTAATTATGTCATGGAGGACATTGAATTGGATAGCCAGAATTTTGTTTCATTTTAGAAGTACTTTCTAATCAAATTAAACTTCTATAGCAGTTTGTGCCGTTAAATTATATTTGGTCTTTAACTGAAGTAAATTTTGAGTAAATGTCCTATAATTCTGAAAGGTTGCTAGTTATTTTAGCTGTTGTCTACTGCCAAAGAAACCTTCTAATATCATTATTCATCTGCATTTTTATAAAATGCTAGTACTTTGAGTACTTCATTTCTTAGAGTTTCCACATAAGTGAAGTAAATTATGTTAAAGTTGAACTTTTTGTTTCTATGAAAGTTGAAACTTTTTTTTTCTATGCAATAGAGCAATGGTGAAAAGAATGAAAACTGTGAGAACAAAGAGAAAGGTAAGTATATGCAGAAAGAGGAAGTTGTTTAGGTTCTGAGATCTTTTAATCAGAGTAAGCTTCAGATTTTATACAATGAGATTCCAAGCATTGTTGTCTAATCTCTCCATAAGCTCTATCATTTGTCCTAGTCTGTACAATTATATTGAAAATATCTGAGGTTATTTTTATGTATTTATCATGGGGAATATTTTATGAATAATTTTAACCTTACATGACAAACTGGTAATATGCAGTTGGAAAATGTCAAAACCAAAGCTCATACTTGTTTTCTTTTCAAGATGTAGTTTAGCAACAATGGTTAAGAGCATGGAGTCTCAGAAGTCAAATTGCCTGTGTTTGAATGCTGGTTCCTCCTCTCTCTTTCTATGTGGTTTTCAGAATGTAAAACACTCTACCTTTGTTTCCCTGTCTGTAAAGTGTAGATAATAATAGTACCTATTTCATAAGGTTATTGTGAGAATTGAATGAGCTAATACATGTAAATTCTTTTTTTTTTTTTTTTCTTTGAGACGGAGTTTCGCTCTTGTTACCCAGGCTGGAGTGCAATGGCGCCACCTCGGCTCACTGTAACCTCCGCCTCCTGGGATCAGGCAATTCTCCTGCCTCAGCTTCTCAAGTAGCTGGGATTACAGGCATACACCACCATGCCCAGCTAAGTTTTTGTATTTTCAGTAGAGACGGGGTTTCACCAAAATACATGTAAATTCTTAGAATACATGTTAAACTTTAGGACTTATCATTTATGACTAGGCTGTAGACATAATTTTTTCACCCTACATTCATCCTGTGGTCAAAGACTAAATTATTTGAGTCATTTTCATCCCCCTTTAAAAAAAAATCCGAGCCAGGCCCAGTGGCTCATGCCTGTAATCCCAGCACTTTGGGAGGCTGAGGCAGAAGGATTGTTTGAGCCCAGGAGTTCAAGACCAGCCTAGGTAATGGTGAAATCCCCATCTCTACAAAAAAATACAAAAAAAGAGCTGGGTGTGGTGGGGCACGCCTATAGAAGGTTGAGGTTGGGAGAATTGCTTGAGTCCAGGAGGTTGAGGCTGCATTGAGCCGTGATCACACCACTGTACTCCATCCTGGGTGAGAGTGAGACCCTGTCTCAAATTCAAACCAATAATATGGAAGTTATCCATAGGTGATATTTGATACTGTAGTGAGAAATACATGACCTAAACAAGACTTAGGAAATTCTCTTCATCTGCTAGAGACATTTTCCTCTCTCAGAAAAGGTTTATCTTGTCTACAGCCATGCCACCTAATGCACCTAATCTTGGGAGCTAAGCAGGATGGGCCTAGTTAGTACTTCGATGGGAGAAAAGGTTTAATTTAAACATAATTATAAGTAACAGTAAAATAAATTCTCTACTTAAAATGCTGCCATATAACAATTATAAAAATAAACTGGGTGTGCTATAAGGTTCTTTCCTAAAAGCTGTTACTGATTCGGTCCAAGATTTGTTTTTATGCATTTGTTCCTTTGTATGTCATCCTACTTAAATGTTGTTCTTCTCAGTGGTTTGTTATCAACTTTTTTAGTCTGTTTTGTCAGCATACTCTTGATGGCTAGAGTGGGAAGGAGGAGGATGATTAGCAGCAATAGGTCTTTTAGTATAGGAGCTATTGAGACTTCTTTTCACAGCTCACTGCTGAAACAGCTTTTTATATATCTCAGCTCTCTTGTAGTGCTTTTTAATCTTTCACTTCAGTAGAGCTGAGGAAAAATAGTGACATAGGGGATATTTGTTTTGACAGATGGCTGCCCTCCCCCAAAAGTAAATAAATTAAATACTGCATTAGCTTTACTTAGTTTTCTTTTTCTTAGCCTTCTTAAAAAAACAAAATAATCTTTTATCCTTCTGACTTGGAGCTAACAAATAAACATCAAGTAGAAAGAGGATTGGCAAATTTTTCTTAAGGGGATAGATAGTAAACATTTTTAGGCTTGGGGAACCTTATGGGCTTGGAGAGCCCTGTGGTCTCTGACACAACTATTGATCTCTGCTGTTGCAGTATGAAAAAATATGTGAACAAACTAGTGTGGCAGCTATCCAGTAAAAACAGATGGCCATAGTTTTTCAGTGTCTCATATACATGAGCAAGCTTTTGACTTGTTATTCTAAGAATACTTAGAAATCTAAGTTTTTCAGGTAGCTACCGTAAGACTACCATCAGAGACTTTTTGAATTTAGAACCTTTCCAGAATTTTAGAACCATAGATGTTTCTTTCTTCTAGTTAGCATTTTTCTAATGTCTTAATTTTTGAAAACATACTATTTTCCTAAGATATACATATTAATGTCCTTTATTTTATATTGGTAACAGAGTCAATACCAGATGTAGCTATAAACTCAACAGGAAGTTTTGATCTTTAAGTCTTTATAAACAGAGCATTAAACTGGTTTCTTGTGTTAACTTGTGTTAAAAACAGAACTTAAGGCTGGGTACAGTAGCTTATGCCTATAGTCCTAGCACTTTGGGAGGCCGAGGTAGGTGGATCACTTGAGGTCAGGAGTTCCAGACCAGCCTAATCAACATGGTGAAACCCCATTTCTACTAAAAATACAAAAATCAGCCACACATGATAACAGCCTATATTCCCAGCTACTCGGGAGGCTGAGACAGGAGAATCACTTGAACCTGGGAGGTGGAGGTTGCAGTGAGCCAAGATCATGCCACTGCACTCCAGCCTGGGTGATAGAGCACGACCCTGTCTCAAGGGAAAAAAAAAAACAAAAAAACAAGTTATATTTAATTGTTAGTTTACAAGATAATAAATGGTATGATGGGGTAGTAAATATACGGCATCCGTATGTATCCAGTATAGTTTGCTCTTCCAGAAAAAGCTGTTTGTCCTATATTTTACAATGTCAGCACATCTTGTGCTATTTCTTGTCACTTATACTGTCTCTCTCAATTCCAAGGAGCAATCACAGCAAAGGAACTATACACGATGATGACGGATAAAAACATCAGCTTGATTATAATGGATGCTCGAAGAATGCAGGATTATCTGGATTCCTGTATTTTACATTCTCTCAGTGTTCCTGAAGAAGCCATCAGTCCAGGGTTGGTTATTGTGTAGTAAAGTAGTCAACTGTGGCCTTAGTAAATGTTATGACTTAGCATCCAACCTAAATGTGATAAAGTAGGCTTTTCCTATTAACCTTTTAAATCTGCTGCTTTTTTTTTTGGGCGGAATAGAGGGGAGAGGTGCATTTTAGGAGCAGAGGTTTAATAGGCAAAAGAAAGAAAGGAGAACAGTTCTCTCACTTGCAGGAGTGAGGAGTGCTCAAATGGGACTTCTCTCAATCTTTGCTTCTTAAAGGCACACTTTACCCTTTTTGAAGATTGAAGTTACGGATTTGCTAACTTTTTATTTGGCTGTTTTCTCCTATTTGTGGTGTTTAGAATCCTATCAAAAGAGAAATGAAGTTGCCTTTTCCCTCTCTCCCCAGGTGTTTGTTGGTTGATCTTTCCTATTATTTTCCGTTTATAAGCATGTGAATTATAGGTACCAAATTGAGTAAAATTGTGAACTAATTGAATTGTTTTACATATTGAAAATCCCTCTATTATCTGTGATATAAGAGTATACAAATACTTTGTGTGTATGTGTGTGTGTGTGTGTCTATTCAAATAACTGTCACTAGCTGCATTATTTCTAGCTAGTGACCTAACATTTCTTTTTTCTTTTTATTTTATTTTATATTAAAAAAAAAATAGAGATAGGGTTTCATCATGTTGGCCAGGATTGTCTCAGTCTCCATACCTTGTGATCCACCCACCTCTGCCTCCCAAAGTTCTGGGATTACAGGCCTGAGCCACCATACCCGGCCGTGACCTAACATTTCTTTTATTTTTTATTTTTTATTGCATTTTAGGTTTTGGGATACATGTGCAAAACATGCAAGATAGTTGCATAGGTTACACACGTGGCAGTGTGCTTTGCTGCCTTCCTCCTCTTCACCCACATCTGGCATTTCTCCCCATGACCTAACATTTCTAAGCTCATGTTTCCATCAGTAAAATGGAGATAATAATAGAACCTATCTCATAGAGGTTTCAGGAGATTTAAATGAGAAAAGTTATACAAACACACACATTTTATTTTAGCACAGGTCCTGGCACGAGTAAGGACTTAATTTAAAATTTTTGCTTTCTTTCATTTTTGTAAAGAAGACCTTTAACCTATGAAATAATTTAAAACCACTTGCATGGGTGCATTGTACATTAGAAATCATGACATAGTGGCAGAGCTATATATATAGACCTCCAGATACAGGGCCATTTTCACTATTTCAAGCATTCTTATATAGATCCTATTATCTCTCTGGGTCTTAGTTTAAAATTATTTATTTTTAAAATTAGGTAATAAAATCTGTATAGTTCTTGGCATATTGCAGATGCTTGATAAATGTTTGACCTGAAGCATAGAGTGTGCTTCCTAAATAAGCTACCTAAAAATTAGAGCTCTTAGGCTGGGTGTGGTGTCTCATGCCTGCAATCCCAGCACTTCGGAAGGCCAAGGCAGGCAGATCACTTGAGGTCAGGAGTTCCAGACCAGCTTGGCCAACATGTTGAAACTCGTCTCTACTAAAAATACTTTAGCCAGGTGTGGTGGCACATGCCCTTAATCCCAGCTACTAGGGTGGCTAAGGCAGGAGAATCACTTGAACACAGGAGGCATAGGTTGCAGTGAGCCAAGATCGCACCACTGCACTCCAGCCTGGGTGACAGAGGGAGACTCCGTCTCAAAAAAAAAAAAAAAAAAAAAAAAAGAGCTCTTTGAGGACGACGTGGTCATAGGTGGTGCCAAGCTGTGGTCTGCCCAGTCCTGCTCCTGACTCACTGCTGTTCGCCCCCGCCGAGGAACCAGTTGGTCAGGAAGCCACACAACAGCCATGGCTTTTAAAGATACTGGAAAAGCACCCATGGAGCTGGAAGTGGTAGTTCACTGAATTCAAATCAGTCTTAATGAGCCAGAAAGTAAATCCCTGGAGAAGGTGTGTGCTGACTTGATCAGAGGAGCATGGGAAAAGAATCTAAAAGTGAAAGGACCAGTTCAAATGCCTACTAAGACTTCGAAAATGACTACAAGAAAAACTCACTTTGGTAAAGGTTCTAGACTTGCACAGCCCTTCTGAGATTGTTAAGCAGATTACTTCCATCACTATTGAGCCAGGAGTTGAGATGGAAGCCACCATTGGAGATGTTTAAGTCAACTATTTTAATAAATTGATTACCAGTTGTTAAAAAAAATTAGAGTGCTCAGTCTAGTTCAACATGTAAATATATTTCCAGGATTTGAACAAAGTTTTAATTAGTCATTGGATAGTCTAATCTGTATTAACAGAAAGCTAGTGGTCTTTATTGTTGAGTTTATATGACAGTTTCCCGAAATGTGAGAGTTGGACGACTATGAAACTCAAGATGATTTTAGGCTGAAGATTAAAGAACAATGAAATGCATACTGAGAAATTATTCCCTTTTAATTTACCTAACAGTCCTTTTGAGTTAGTTTAAAGGAGTTTCAATTCAGTTTGGTGCTAGTATATCTTTTAAATACTTGCTTATCTCCCTTTCTTAACTAAAGGGAGCAGGTCTCAGAGCTTTCTGTAGGTAACAGTACCTACAGCTAGCTGATAGTGATTACTGTATTTTTTCATTATCTATTTTTATTTATTGAGATGGAGTCTCGCTCTTTCGCCCAGGCTGGAGTGCAATGGCACAATCTCAGCTCACTGCAGCCTCTGCCTCCTGGATTCAATGGATTCTCCTGCCTCAGCCTCTTAAGTAGCTGGGACTGTAGGTGCATGTCACCATGCCTGGCTAATTTTTGTATTTTTATTGGAGACGAGGTTTCACTGTGTTAGCCAGGATGGTCTCTCTCTCCTGAACTTGTGATCCGCCTGCCTTGGCCTCCCAAAGTGCTGGGATTACAGGCGTGAGCCAACGCACCTGGTCTATTTATTTATTTTTGAGACAGAGTCTCACTCTGTGCTTGGGCTAGAATACAGAGGCATGATTACATTTCACTGCAGCCTTGACCTGGGTTCAGGTGATCCTCCCACCTCAGCCTCCTGGGCAGCTGGGACTACAGGCACATGCCACCACTCCCAGCTAATTTTTATGTTTTTTGTAGAGACGGGGTTTTGCTACATTGCCCAGACTGGTCTCAAACTCTCGGGCTCAAACGATCCTCCAACCTTAGCCTTCCAGAGTGCTGGGATTACAGGTGTGAGCCTTTAGACCCAGCCTACCTGTTCTTAAAATTTCAAGCTAGCTATTTATTTATTTATGAGATAGAGTCTCGCTCTGTCACCCAGGCTGGAGTGCAGTGGTGTGATCGCCACCCACTGCAACGTCCGCCTCCTAGGTTCAAGAGTCTCCTGCCTCAGAAGGCTGAGTAGCTGGGATGACAGGCACGTACCACCTTGCCTAGCTAATTTTTAAATTTTTAGTAGAGACGGGTTTCACCATGTTGGCCAGGCTAGTCTGGAACTCCTGACCTCAAATGGTCCACCTGCCTTGGCCTTCCAAAGTGCTGGGATTACAGGTGTGAGCCACTGTGCCCAGCTTTTTTTATTATTATTTTAAAAAATTTTTTGAGACATAGTCTTGCTGTTTGGCTCAGGCTGGAGTGTAGTTGTGCAATCTTAGCTCACTGCAATCTTCACCTCCTGTGTTCAAGTGATCCTCATGTCTTGTGTCTCAGCCTCGTGAGTAGCTGGGATTACAGGTGTACACCACCACACCTGGATAATTTTTGTGTTTTTAGTAGCGACAGGATTTCACTGTGTTGGCCAGGCTTGTCTTGAACTACTGGCCTCAAATGATCTGCCTGCATCAGCTTCCCAAAGTGCTGGGATTACAGGTGTGAGCCACTGTGCCTGGCCTATTTCTTTTTTTAACTTTTATTTTGGGTTTGTTGGTACATGTGAAGGTTTGTTACATAGGTAAACATGTGTCACAGGGGTTTGTTGTACATATTATTTTATCACCAAGGTTTTAAGCTCAGTAGTCAATACTTATCTTTTCTGCTCCTCTCCTTCTTCTTACACTCCCCCTCAAGTAGACCCCAGTGTCTGTCGTTTCCTTCTTTGTGTTTATAAGTTCTTATCATTTAGCTCCCATATTCTTTTTTTTTTTTTTTGAGACGGAGTTTCGCTGTTGTTACCCAGACTGGAGTGCAATGGCACGATCTCAACTCACCGCAACCTCTGCCTTCTGGGTTCAAGCAATTCTCCTGCCTCAGCCTCCCGAGTAGCTGGGAATACAGGCGTGCACCACCATGCCCAGCTAATTTTTGCATTTTTAGTAGAGACAGGGTTTCACCTTGTGGACCAGGATGGTCTCCATCTCTTGACCTTATGATCTACCTGCCTCAGCCTCCCAAAGTGCTGGGATTATAGGCATGAGCCACTGCGCCGGCCTTAGCTCCCATATTCTTAACTTTTATTTATTTATTTATTTATTTATTTTTGAGACAGAGTTTCACTCTGTTGCCCAGGCTGGAGTGCAGTGGCACAATCTCAGCTCACTGCAACCTCTGCCTCCTGGGTTCAAGCGATTCTCCTGCCTCAGTCTCCCAAGTAGCTGGGACTACAGGCACACACCACCACACCCAGCTAATTTTTGTATTTTGAGTAGAGATAGGGTTTCACCATGTTGGCCAGGATGGTCTCGATCTCTTGACCTCATGATCCACCTGCCTCCTCCTCCCAAAGTGTTGGGATTACAGGTGTGAGCCACCGTGCTCTGCCTGAGCCACTGTGCCTGGCCTTAACTTTTAATACATTATAGTATACATATCAAAGTATTGCTGTCCTAAGTGTCTAGCCCAGTGAATTTTCATTAACTGAATGCACCCACTTAACTAGCATCCAGACCAAGAAACGTAACATTATCATCCTTCCTGAACCCGATATACCGCCTGTAAGTTACTACCCATATCCCACTGTCCAAGGAAAGCACCAACTTCTAACAGAATATATTCTTTTTATCTGCTTTTGTACTTTATATAAATGGAATTGTTTAATATGTAGCCTTTAATATCTGTCTTCTTT